AGCTGAGCTGACAGCCTGTGAGCCATGCAGCAGTGCTGAAGCAGTGCAGACTTGATGAGGCCTGAGCCGAGGGCTGCACTTCCTCCATGGCCTCCCAGGAACAGCCTCCAGCCACAGGAATGTGCTGGAGCTGTCTGAGCTTGGGAACTGAGTGTGAGTCCTTCACATCCTGATCAGCGTTTCACTCTCAGCACATGCAGTCATGCCAGTGATTCAGGCTCATTCTTCCATCTCTTGTTGGCAGCAGCACAAAGAACAGATTTTTTTTTTCCTGTAGGTTTCATGATTTTGAAGGAGGCTATTACACCTACCCCCGCTCCCCGCATTGTCACCCTGCAGAAAAAAAAACAGACCCTCTCATCCTAAATAAGGTGGGCAATGGCCAAGGGCCTCACTGGCATCTCCAGCCCTCACGGAGACACTGGGAGCTGAGTTGTGCAGCAAAGCAGCTTGTGCATGGGAGGAACAGGGGAAAGGACACATGCTGAGAACTCCTGATTCTGGTAGGGGGACACAGGACTAGTGTCCCACATCAAAAATGCAGAAACAACAGCCTGTGACGTGAGAAACAATATGAGGCCTTAAGCAGTTGCTTGTCTTAAGTCAGCATTTGATGTCTACTGGATTGTAAGAAGATTACAGTCAACTCTAAAAAAAATGTGGAAAAAGAAAAAAGGGGGGTGGAACTAAAGAAAAGGAAAGGGGAATAAAGAGAGGAGGAGAGGAGAGGAGAGGAGAGGAGAGGAGAGGAGAGGAGAGGAGAGGAGAGGAGAGGAGAGGAAAAAAAAAAAAAAAAAAAGAACATTAATGCATTTGGTGGAGTTTCCTGACACTCTCTGGCTTACATTCACTAACTGATTCTAGCAATGATAGAGAAAAATCTGTCTTTCCTCCTCCTTTTTCTCCTACCTATCCTCTCTGTCAAGCCTCCTGTTTGACACTGAGCAGTGTTTTTGTGTTCGTAAAATATCAGCCCCAAATCTGGTTTCATCTCCTTGGAGCATTTTGCCTTTCTGGGGAGGCTTCTAGGATATAGCACAGGAAGAGGCTGTTGACACCACTATACTTGTGACAACTGCCTCAAAAGTTCCATGGAAAGGCAAAGAGCTGTGAGTTATCAGCCCCCCTGCTCAGTTGTAGAGGGGGATTTTATCTCATAGATTTGGAAATTGGAGTTTATTTTTGGCAGGGGACTAAGTATGAATGTAATTCACTGCTTTGGACATGCACAGGGCAGATTATCGTCCAGTTCAAGGTGTAACATGCAAACAATGTGCTCTGGATTGTACAAAGAACTCATGCTGTAGCAGTACTTTGGGCAACTTCTACTAGCAGACACCTGGAGAACTGTCCGGTATGAGATGTCCATATGAGAGGAATACACTGGAATACACTGCAATAGGATTCCCAGAGATGTGGGTGCCCCATCTCTAGAGGAGATCAGGGCCAGGTTGGATGGGGTTTTGGGCAACCCAGTCTAGTGGGAGGTGTCCCTGCCCATGGCAGTAGGGTCAGAACTACGGATCTTTAAGATCCTTTCCAACCCAAGCCATTCTGTGATTCTGTGGTCTGACTGACAATGCAAGACCTCAAGGACAGTCATCAGGGAGAATGGACCTCCCCTGACTATTATCAGGTCAATTTTCTGTAAACACGCAGATTCCTGTCTAGTCTTTAATCCACTGTCCCACATAGTTCCGTGCCCTTAGCTCAAATTGGTGGGGAAATAGCAAAGTTGTGGGAAAAACCTCAGGAAATTTGTAGAGGAGAGCCAAGCAAGAGAAGATGAAGCTACAGACACAGGTTGAAATAACATCAGTAGCAATTTGAACGTTTGTAGGGGAAGGAAAAATATCAACATGGAAAGATTAAGAACCCCAAAACAACAACAGCAACAACAATTAAAATATATATATACCATTGGGAAACAGCAGCTTATCACTACCTAAGAGCTCCAGGGAGCCCTGGAGGATGACCCTTCCCCTCCTGGCTAGCAGACTCCTTGATGTAACAAGGATCCTGTTGCTCATTCTGAGCCCAGTATTCATTAAATCTAAAACATCATTTGTCTTAATAAATAATGATTAAATATTTTGCTTAAGTTTGTTTGTTTGCAGCATCGTATGTGCACAGTTAAATTTGCTCAAAATGGCTCAGAGATAATGCAGGGCACCCTACTCAATGACGTGAAGTTGATTTTGTATCCTACCATGCCTTCACAGGTGCCCAGCTGGAGCAGAGTCTGCTGTTCACCTTGGGTTCATATCTACAACTTTGCCCTGTGAGCTTCTCCAGCAGTTTTTAGGATACTCCAAAGCATTAGCCAGTCTGTCTCCAAAGTGTATAAGGAAAACATCTTCATCCATTGATGTCCTGGCAGGGCCTCAGTTGTTGGAACCCATCACTAGTATTAGACACTGAGAGGCTCTCTGCTGTACCCTTCATTTAACCTTTGATATTTGGCCCTTTGGCCCTAGAATTACTGGCTTCATGACACAGTGGACATAGCAGGTCCCAGTGCATGCTCCTCAGGCAGCTCAGGAAAGTGCACCCATTTCTCAGTGGCCTTGTAGGTACCTGCTGGTTCTTCAGCTCACCTCTTCCATGGGTATATTTCCACCAGGCTCCACAGAGCCAGGAGATCAGACATCAGTACGTCAGGAACAAACTTGATAAAACAGCTTGCAATGACCAGTAGGGGTATTTCCAACACTGTTTATCTGACACCAGCTTCAGTCACCTTCCCACTAACAAATATTTGATTTTTACCCTTCTGCTTTCATTCCCCCCTCAAATATTTTCCTCTTCCTCTGTACGCATACTGTTCCCCCTTGTCTTATGGTGACTCCAAGCCTGGGAATGTCGCTCTGATTATTTACAACCACTGGCCTTTCTTTTACGTAGGAATTGAGTTGTGTGTGTCCTGACTTTGGTGACATCTACATGGTCTAAATTTTGCCTTTAGGCTTTGCTGTCAGGACCCAGATTGCTAAATGAAGCAATTAAGTTTTAAGAGTTTGAAGATTAGTATTTGAAAATATGACATTTAAATTTAAATTACAAAATGACTGCAATTTTAGTATGGAAAAAAAAAAAAAAAAAAAGCAGGCTAGAAAATTATTGTATTAAGCTCCATAATTTGATCTACTTTTAATGTTGAAACTGTATTTTCAATGATTTATGATAATACTTAATTTCACCATTCAGTATTTTCCAAAAGGTTCTGTATAACCAAGGGGTCCATCATTTCCCTCGGAGGCTGAACAGACAGTTGGAGGAAATAACTGCTTGCAGGCAGCTCTATTCACATTTGGAGGAGTGTTCAAACTTATGAAATGAAAAATGAATTATTCAGATATATCTCAACTTTTTTACTCTCCTCACCTGGGAAAATGCTTGGAAATCTTGCCCCAAGAGATGTCCCAACATAAAATGCAAACCATTTTTCTAATGGTTAAGTCATTCAACTAGAGTAAAATACAAAAACAGGTGCCAGTGCTGAGCAGCAGCATTAATTGCCTCTCAAAACAGAAGCCAGACTCCACATCTGCTCTTTCCTGGATGAGTACTTCTAACAGACAAGACTACAACAGCATCCCGTGTCCTGGCATGGTCCACCTGGTCACTACCCCCTGCACTGGTGATGATGTTGCCCCTCGTTCCTTGAGTCCCATCCCAAAATGTCTTGTTTCTCCCACTCACAACACAAGGAATGCAGACACCAGCATCTTTAGGGTGTCACAATTCATACTAAATAAAAAATAAAAAGAATTCAAGTTTCTTTTTAAATGCTGCTCTGAATAAACATAGTCTCAAGAGCAATTTTGGGTTGCAGTAGACAAATTTATTTCCACTGTAGAAGCACACTTGTCTCCATAATAAAAAAATAATGTTTTTGCTGCAGGATAAAAGTAATCCTATAGTGGTATAAATATATCTACTTTCACAAGAATCCATGTTAAGTCACTCAACATGTATTCAGATTTAGTATTCTCACAGTTTCAAATGGAATCAAAAAAGGTAGTTGCTCACAAAAAAAACGAGAATTGTAAAATGTGGCTCAGTTGGGATTCACACATACATGAAATCACAGAAAGGCTTTTATTGAAACAAATAAATTACATATGAAACGATGGCATGTAGCACTAACTACTTCTGCTTACCTAACTAAAACACACTGTATGGCAGAAGTCATAAAAACCTCCGCCAGGAGATCGGTGGCCCTGCCTGTGGCAGGGGGTTGGAACTTGATGATCCCTGGGGTCCCTTCTGACACAAGCCATTCTATGATTCCATGAACCTCAGTGCTGGCCAGGAAGAATTAATATCAAGAGCATAATATTAATATCAAGCTCAGTTCTCTTTAGCCTGTGCTCAGCCTGTGTCTTCACTCCCAAGACTCCTGTCATCAGCTGAACTCTTTCGAGAAATAAACCATCCCTCAGGGGATGATCACAGATTGATCAGACAGCTGTCACTTCCTGCTACGAAGCTCCCATTCTACACTGACAGGTAATCAAGACATGAAATACTTCACATAACATCATTAATGACCCAATGCATTCAAAAGTCTTATGGTAGGTAGGTTGATGTATAACTACCCGGTATGAACACTTCAAAAAAGGCAGAACACAACCTCCTGCACTTCCAACACTAAACACCACTGTAGGGTACCTCTTGAACTGTTATTGTACTCCTTTCAGCTGCGGAAGTGGAAAAAACAAAAAGGGGAAATAAAGTTTAATGAAGCACATCACGACTCTATGTTACTACGTTCTAATCATACTTATTTACTGCATGAACTACCCTCAGCAGGAGGCCCTCACAAGAAGTACTGACTTATTCTAATACTCCCTAACTGCTAGTACAGTATTAAAAAAAAAAGAAAAAAAAAAGAAATACAGCACTTGGTTTTGATTCTTCGTAATGTTTCTTGGGAGAAGGACACTTATAACAAATACAACATAGTACTGAAGACAGGAGAACATAACAACACTTAGTTCTGATACACTGAAAAGCAATTTATTATATAAGCATATTTACACAGGCACACTGACTTATTGAGCACCATTTTTTTTTCTCTATTATTACAGTTCAACATCAACATTCAACTCTGAACAGAACATTAGACCTTTACAACAGTTTCAGTATCAGAAAAAGAACTACCTATATTCTACACAACACAGAACACTAGCATTAACACTCCAGTTGACAAGTTCACTGCAAGAGACCCTCTCTCTGAATTCTGAGGCGTTCTTTCTCCACTTGCAAGCGCTCCTTCTCAATCTGCAGCTTTTCTGACTCAAATTTTAAGAACTGCAACCTTTCTTTCTCTAACTGCAAACGTTCTTTTTCAAGTTTTAACTTCTCAGTTTCTAGATCCAGAGGCTGTATGATGGGTTTTTCCGATTGGATGAGGTCATTTTCCAGGGCAGGTTTCTCAGCACGCAGAGTCTCTAGCCTCAGTTTCTCCCGCTCGATTTGAAGTCGCTCCTTCTCCAGCTGAAGTCTCTCATGCTCCAAGTCAATGTGCCGCAGCCGTTCTTTTTCAATTTGGAGGCGCTCCTTCTCCACTTGCAACCGTTCAGCTTCAATATCTAATCGCTGCTTCTCCAGCTCCACCTTCTGCTTCTCTAGATTTATAAGCAAGTGTGAATCTTCATAGGCTAATCTAGCTTGAGCAGAGCTTAGATTCCCAAACTCCTCAATGTGGGTGAAATCTGGTAAGTCATTTTCTTTTTTTGAATCTGGCAACACTGATGAAAAAATCTCTTCTTCCTCAATAGGAAACTGCAGAGAGGAATGCAACACAAGAATTACACCCCATTCTCTCTGTTAGAATAGCGTTATATACAGCTTTACTAAAAGTAACAGGTGACTGCTTTTTTTCCTGCATCTTAAAAAGAATTCCAGAAATTACATTCTACAAAATAAACATGCTAATTAAAAAACTTGGTTTGTTATTACATAGCTTGAGAGACACTTGATCTATAAGCTAATATTTGTAATGAAAAATCTGTTTATCTATAGACATGCAAGAGTAGCACAAAAAACACTGCATGATAGATATTACAGAGCAGTCAGAATCACCAACAGAAAACTGCACCTAAAAAACATGTGGTGGCCTTACTTTTCACAAAGCTCAATGACATTTATGTAAACCACTAGCAATCTGCTGTGATTAATTATCTACCAGAGCAGTTGGATCCACAGGGTAGGTGGTATTAAAGCTAACCCAGCCTTCATTAACACGAGGATTCAATTTCTAAAAACATTTAACACCGCAGTATTTAAAACCATCTGGCATTTTTCACATGGTCCTAACCCTTCAATCTGTGTAAGTGGGTCAATAAACAGGACTTGTTTAACCAATTTCATATTGCCATTCTTGCTAGAAAACCACTCATGAACGGATTATTAAGGGGTTAGCACCACTGTTCTTGGTGAACCCTGAAGGCTGTAATCCTGCAAGAGCTATGTGCTGTACACCATAATACAGAAGAGACTATTGTTTCCCATTACAAATACTGCAAATGGAAGGCAAACAGAGGAAGACGTGGGTTCAGAAAACAATGTAAGGCAATGAGAGAAACTACCAGTATTTCAGTTTTAGAGAAGACTGACACCTTTCTGCACCAGCTGTGAGGCAGCAGCTCCCATTACCATTTTTAAGAGCTTATGCTGGTATTTTTTTTCCCAGCATACATTCCAACTAAACTTAGACACAATTTGAACCCATATTAAAAAAACAAAACAACAAAAAACATCCAAACATTTGATTTCAGTCTCACTATCTCAGAACAGCTATGATGCTACTAAAAATAGCAACCTGCCACAGGTTTCACAGCCACAATTCTGACAGAGGAATGGCTGACTGATTTATTCAGATAATATTTTCATCTCCTGTGGTCTCATTTTAAGAAATGCAAAGAGCATTCCATTTCTTTCTTTCTGTACCTCCAGGTAACACACACTTTCATTTGTTAAAGAGGTGCACCTCCCTTCTCCATTCATCCATTCTGATACCCTAAGTATTAAAACAGCCAATATCCTTAAGTAATGTATTTTCATTCTACTGGTTGAAATAATTCCTATCTCTGACATACAGAAATGGAAAACACATTCAAATACACACTTGCGTTGAGGGTTACCAACCTTACACACCACTGCAAACAGCTAGATTTGAATGTCTTCTCTCTGAAGCACAATTGTTTCTACTACTTAATTCACACATTCAAACAAAGCAAAAACTGATGCTAATGAAGCACACTGAAAAGCCCTTGGGAGGTTGGAAAACAGCCATTATTGCATAGAGGTAATGCACGCCAGTCACTTACTTCAAAATTCTGTGGATCCTCCTCTTCTTCTTCTACTTTGATTTCTGTTAAAGACCCACCTGCTTCTCTGAAGTCAGTAATGTTCTGCCATTCAAAACTAGATTCATTTGAAAACCCTATTTTGTCATCCATATCTTCATTGAGAGAGTCATCTAAGTCGGATGAAGGAAGGTGAAACCCTGCACCAACTGCCTTGATGTTTGCATTCAGACGCTTCCTCTTCATGAGCGCTCTCCAGTCAAGGTATCTCCTTTTCACTTCTGTACCTGTTCTTTGCTCACCTTCACCTACAGCATTCACACACTCTGCTATTTCCTCCCACGCTTTCCGTTTCATCTCATTAATTGTTGTATTAAGTTGTTTTGAAAAGAGTACTTCTCTCCTTTTTCTGATTTCCTTAAGGAGAGTTTGCGTTTCCTGAACACTAAAATTACTTTTTCTTTTTCTTTTCAATTGTTTCATTTTTTCCAGCTTTAAGCTAATAATTTTAGCACAGCAGATTACAGAGACTATTTGACACTAAGCAGTTATTAACACAGAGTTTAAAAAACAATGAAAGCAGAGATCAGCCCTCGATAGATGTGTTTCGTCTTCACTTTGTAGTATTTTCCTATTCCTCAGGGTTCCTAGGAGAAAAAGAGCAAACAAAATAAATCTCAAAGGTATACACTGTATATTTCTATTTAATGAGCTTGGCTCCAAAATCACCCATTAAGGAAGTGTACATTCTGAACATACCGCTCATCTGTTAGAAGAAAACAATTTTGTTACACTCTGAATTTAAAGTAGCTGTTGATGAGCTCCCATAAACTCGTATGAATTATAAATCTATTAATATATCTGTCATAAACTGTTAAGGTTGAGTTGATATTTCCATTACAAAAATATAGCTGTTTTCCTATAGCTCTTACAGTTTTGCCTGTTGGTCTGCGCTTAAGGCTGGAGTTCGACATATACATCTTAGTCTGAATACTAAGGTATTTCAAAAAGAAGCTAAGATTGTTTACATTGTTACTTCAGAAACAACATGTCTAGGCAAATGAATTTGCTGAAACCTTTTTTAACTACTTCTATGCAAAGAAAAAAAAAAAGTAGATATAAGTAGGTACATATTAAAAGCTGACATCTTGGAGCCTCTTCTGACTAACTGCAATCACAAATAAGTAATCCTGCTGGAGCAATCCTGCTGTATGATAGAAAACAACCTTTTGAACTAAGTGTTCAAACAAATGTCACAATTTGAGATGCTGCTCTAAGAAACAGGCCAAGGAATAAGCCATCACTTCTGCACGTTAAAGCCCTGCTCCACGGCCCCTGCACTGTAAAATGCTTCAGTTAATGTCAGATTCAAAGCTCAGTGCTCTACCACAGCTATGGCTGATCCTGTGCCTGATGCTAGAGGAAGCTAATCTTGGACACAGTGCACAACTCTATAAAACATACACATCAGAACATTAAAAACTCCCCATTTGAGGACAAAGCACGTAACAGTTTACAGTCTGCATCCCCTATGCACTGTTATGTTGTACATAACTAGCTTACTTACAAAGTTGTCCAAGTTTTGCAAGCTGCATATTTCTATTTAAGATTGTACGAAGCTTCCTACCCTTCTGAAAATAAAATAAGAAAATAATAACTCATCTTGAGAACAGAGAACGATTGAAATATATACTAAGACTTAGGGCTGTGATATAGATGCGCTTCTTGCCATGACCAGTATTAAAAACCAAAAACAGAAAAAACAACCCACCCCCAACTTTCTGCCATCTAAAAAAAATCAGACTTACAACACAGCACTGTATCTCTGTATCTGCTGGAATTATATAAGTACTTTTTTTCAGAGACCTTTTACCTGATGTTTAAACTTCTCCTTTAACCTTCATTATTATATGTTTGCCATGAAAAGATATTTGGGCTTTCAAGGAAGCAGCACCATACTTACTTCTCTCTAGCAGTAAATCAACCTTTTGGTACTTTGCTTTTCAAATCCTAACTACATTGTTAGTTCTTTTCTGCCTTTATAGCAATTTAATTTCTTGATCTATCTATTAAACTCAAATTCATCTTCAGTGTTTACGTTAAAAACTTTCTAAAAGTCATTCACCAGCTAAGTTCTCCAGAAGAGCTACTGATACACAGAAAGAACTAAGACTGCTTTTAGAAGTTCTACTGTTAATGAGACAGTTATTCTGAATTGATAAATAAAAAGCTGAATTAAGCTGAATTCCTGGTGCCTGCTACTTCAGAAAATGCGTGTACATGTGTGTAAGCACAAAGAGTTACAGAATCACACAATCCTTCGAGTTGGAAGGGACCTTTGAATGTCGTCTAGTCTGACCCCCTCAGCAATGAACAGGAACATCCACAGGTTGCCCAAGGCCTGATCCTGAGTTATGTAGGAGTCTAACACACAGCATAGACAGTTTTTCTGACTTACCACTACCAAGGCACCAAACCTTTGTTTGAAGTCAAAACTCACTTATTTTTACTGAAATTGGTAGAACTTCTTGAATTTAAGCAAGTACTTAAGTAGACATCCAAGTAGTTGGTTAGCTATTGGACAATGGGTCAGATTTCCCCAAGTACTCGCAAACCAGATACATCAAACTCTTGGATGTATTAATAATTAGCTGTCTTTTAGGTTACCTAAATACCAGATTCAGGTTTTTAAATCAATTTTTCCTCCATGCTATTTTTTAAATGCAATTCTACATGACCGTGGAAGACAGGCAGCTGAGCTTTCCTCTTAGCTGTAGGCCAGGTCACAAGTTAAAACGCACAGCTGCCAGGTCACCCTGCAGGTCAGTCCCACTACTGCTCACCCAGGTGCTCTGCATCACTGCCCTGATCGCCCATTCACTCTTCCACAAGAACCAAACCTTGGGTTTGGATTTTAAATTACAGGTCAAGCACTGCATTACTACACTGGGAACCCATGGCATAAAATGCTATTTTGCATAGCGTTCTTTCGTTTTTGTCCTATAGCATATATGATATAAGCCCCCGAGAGCAACGGTGAAGCCTACCTATTTTAAAACTCTTGGTTATTACTCTCTAATTGTATAGCACACCTCACTATTTCTAACTCTTTGCCTTCTGAAAGCACACTGCCTCACTGAAGATGTTTCCTTTTTCATTAATACAGGTGGTGCTAATGAATTATCTTAGCAGCATATAGATGAGCAGATTTGGACCTATTCCGCAACAGAACCATTACCTTTCTGATATATTAAATAAAAAGAAATATTACCTAAATAAAGCTGAGTTTGGTAAAATTCTGGTTCTAATACTTTGATATTTCTGGATGGTGTCCAGGATATAACTTTTAATTAAGAAAAAATGAACTGCCACATGCTTAAACTATTTAACAGTCATGAATGATAACAGGCAAGGATTTGTACACATTCTAAATTGCTACAAAGAAAGAACAAAAACAACTTATCAGCAATTTGAAAAGATTAATTTACAAGAACAAAACATAAAGCATGTTTAATTTCTAGTTTGAGATCTAAAACAAGAAAACACACATTCAGAAATAATTCCAGACAAACATTTCAGATTTTACCGAAATCAGAACCGTAAGACCTCAACATTTTTGTGTCGTTAGCAGAAGATTCTACAGCAAATAAATTCTAAGTGTACCAATTGGGAATAAAAGTGGTTCACTCAGAAAAGGGATAAGCAGATTAGAGAAGAGACGACAAAAGCCTGGCTATGTGACAGAGAAATCCCTGAGAAGTGACAAATGATGCAAACAGGCTCTGATGTGACTAGCAGCTGTGCACACATTACTCAGAATGCAAATGCAAAATGTGTACCATTTGGGTACAAATGCAAAGTGCTGTCTAGAGAAAGAGAAGGGTTTTTCACCATGAGATAACAGAAAGCTTTCAAGGTGTGCACAGGAGAGCCAGCAACGTAACACTGAGTTTATTGACACAGTCCTGTCAGGCCAAAATCAAACTGAAGGTTAAGAAGGCCCTCACCTCTGGTCTGGAAACTGGAACTATTTGTTGTTGCTGAAATGAAACAGTATTATGTAACTAAGTTGAACAATCCATAAACATACATAAGATTCATAACCTCAAAATACAGCAGAGGCATCTACACTCTGCCGCTGTGTTTCCCTTCCTCGCATCTCGCTGTGTGAACACATGCTAGAATGGTACGTTTATAAACAAAAACAACAAAAACCAACACACAAGCAACACAGGCTGCCCAGGGAGGTTGTGGATGCCCCATCCCTAGAGGTGTTAAAGCCAGGTTGGATGGGGCCCTGGGCAGCCTGATCTAGTATTAAATAGGGAAGTTGGTGGCCCTGCATGTGGCAGGGGCATTGGAGCTTCATGATCCTTGAGGCCCCTTCCAACCCGGGCCATTCTGTGATCCTGTGAAAAAGTCATAACCAACACCAAAAAATCTCACAGAGTCCTATTAAATAATTTATAATATATATATACACACACATATATATCCAGATTTCTTTTTTGTTATTATGCCTTAGTGGTTGTCTTCATATTTGAAATTTCCAGAAAAAATAAATAATGAAAAGAAATAAGCATTAGATCAGGAGGCCCTGTAACCTAATTTTCTAACACCAAATTTGAGAATTGGGCACTCTTCACACAGTACTAATCCACGGCTTTCTGGAAAACTTCAGGTGTGGTTCTGAACAGATGGTTGTACTGGCATGGGTCAATTTTAAGTACTCAGAGACGGTTCAATCGGTACAACCATACACACAGAACAGTTCAGGTGGGAAATGACCCCAAGGCCCATCCAGTCCCAACCCCCCACCACGGGCTGGTTGCCCCCCAGCAGCTAAGGCTGCCCAGGGCCCATCCAACCTGGCACTGAGCACCTGCAGGGATGGGGCACCACAGCACTGATCAGCTTCCCTTTCAGTGAAGAACTTCTTCCTAACGCGCAACCCAAACCCCACCGCTCTCAGTTCAGAACCGGAGGAGGAAGAGAGAAAGGAGGCCGCACAGCCCCCAGCCTCGGCCCTCCTATCAGACACGGCCCGGCCCCGCCGGGAGCCCTCGCAGGGAACAAAGGCGACAGACAAACCCCGCCGACGTCCCTCCCCACGCCGGGCTTCCGGGCAACCGACTCGGAGACCGAGGGACCCCGCACCCCTCACGGGAGGGCAGCGGACTGCCGCCTCAACGCTACCCGTGATTGAGAGTGCAACCGTTCTGCGCCCACAAAGGGACCGAAGGCTGCGGACCGGGCGAGCGGCCCCCTGTAAGGCGCCGGGAGCCATACTACCTCAGACCCACCGCGAACCGCGCCCGCCCCAGGAGCCACACACATTACTCACCTACGCCCAACTCACCCCACCGGGTCGCCGGCCCTTTAACGACCGGCACCTTCCTATTGGGCGACCTGAGTGCCCATCAGTCCTTCCCGAACGACTATTGGCTGTTGAGGCCCGTCGCTTGTTCTCTCCTGTCCCACCCTCCTAGACGCGCCGTAATGCCCCGAATAAGCTTCTGAGCGCCGTAACTCCCCCGCGGGGACACCGCTCGCGCAGCCCCATACAGCATTGGCTGCGGCCTCTGCTTGTCTTACCGATGCCTTCCGATGATTGGCTAGCTTCTGCCAGAGCCCGCCTTCCGCTCTATGACTTTCCGGCGGCACGTTTCTTGCGCTCAGTGAGGCGTTGGGGCTGTGCGGTTGGGTTGTGGTGAGGATGGGTTCCCGCGGTGAGGCTCGTCCGTGGTGGGAGTAAATGTTTTGAAATTTGCTGCTTATGTAAGCCGTGATATTGCTTCAGGATAGTGAGCACGCGAGTGAAATGCAGCGGAGCTGTGCTGTCGCTGCCCTTTTCTGTTTCCGCAGCCTCGCTGAGGTGCCCGCACCTTTCCCTGTGTGCGTCTCGTTGCCGTCTCAACGCCGTGCTTGCAGATGCATAATTAATATCTGCACCTACACGCGTTGCTGAAAAGCCTTGCATGTGTTCTGCGCTCACACACACATACAGACACAGCTGGCTGCAGGTCACTGCACTCACACACA